TGCTAAGGTCATTGTATCGACCATTGAACTTACGAATGATGACTTTAAACGACAATGCTGATGTTCTTGGTTCATCAACTTGCTTGTAAATAATTTACCTCGTTTTGGAAATTGCTCATATGTAGAACATGCTTTTGCGAATCGAATCGAATTGACTGAGATATATACACACCGTTTAAGTGTGCAGGTGATGATGCCATGGAGAAGTGAGCATCCCCTGCCAACCGGTGACACACACCGTGTGCTCCATGTCATGATCGGGAAATAACGGAACAAATCCGTCGTCTAACGTTATTCAGTTTAACTAATAATGGACTAACAATTGGTATGAAAAACGTAAGTATTTGACTCAGTGTTAAATTGTATTTGCTGTCAAGGTCATTGTATCGACCATAGAACTTACGAAATGATGACATTAAACGAGAATGCTGATGTTCTTGTTTCATCAACTTGTTTGTCAATAATTTACCTCGTTTTAGAAGAGCGTGTTCTTGCGTATCGGAATAACTGAGATACATAAACTCCGCGTGTATGCAGTTGATGAAGGCATGTTGCTGCATAAGTAAGGGAAGTTGACGATAGAAAAGTTAATTTTAAAGCCAACACTTTTATGTCATATGGCTTGGTTGTTAGATTACCATTAACGTCTTTTTCAAGAAAAATATCCAAGTTTGAAACAGTAGTGTCAGATTATCTTTTATCTCAAGCTCACCAGGATTAAACGTATCGATGTAGGAATAAAGGGCAATTGTCTTTGTGTTCTTTGACCTATTCCCACCTCTTTTGTAGGCTCTGCTCATTAATTGTATTGTTTTAATAGATCACTGTTCGTCGTTTTGACATATTTTATCATGACAATATTACCATTTACATTTATACAGGTAACCTCATCTTCTGAAGGAAAAAACATTGGAGCACCCCTTTCAAAATTTATCAGTGATAAGAAATATTAATCTACAGGATAACCCAGGTATTCTACTTTGATGTTTTAAAATCATCAGGTATTTGATCTTTTATACCTTTATCAAAGCTTGCGAGACTTTAAAATAATTATTGTTCAACGTTTTTTTTAGACCATAAACAAAATATTACATTCATTTCTTAAATATTTTTTATTGAAATTCATTTCATAAAAATTGTCTTTCGTAAATGTCTTACAGTGATAGATATCTAAAATGACTATCGTAGAAAAGTAATTATGAATTAAAACGAAGTAGATGGGTTTGTCTATATTAAGTTTAGTACTGAGTACCTGAAATTTTTCAGATCTTACCTTTCGACATGGACTCCATCAGAACATCACAAATGAAAGTTTTCAGGAGACAAATATATGTTTAACATTTATGACACGTTCTGAATCGGTTTTTTAGGTCTTGAAAAATTAATGTTAACCTGAGAGCAAATGATGCCTATAAAGCATTTTAATTAAAATAAACAAGAAGCCCATGGGTCACAACACTCATCGTATCCACTTTGGGTCTACTATAGCTAAATGACGTTTTAAATTTTTTTTCCTACTGAAAAAATTTGACTCTCTATTAATCCTATCTTAGACCAAAGGAATTATGATTTAACCAACTTATAAATCGATAAGACATGAGGATATATTTCAATATCAGCATTACTTAAACGGCTTGCTATTCTCGAGAAGAAAGGTTTTTATTGTAGAATATAGCTGAAAAGGAAGTGTTTGTTCTTTTATATAAGACAAAAGAAACAGTCATTCATTTACTTTTATAAATAAAAAAAATAATAATTAACCATATTGAAACTATTACTATGAAAGGAGATTGATATAATTAAATTCGTAAGTTCAATCTGATGCAACTGCATTAGTAGAAAGCACTTACGAAAATTCTTGTAGTAAACTGACAAATCAAGTCCCTCCTTGATTGGTTAATAGATTGATTTCATGTTAGTTGTAATGGTAATGATACATACTGTTGAAGTGTTTCCATTATAGAACACACGTGCTTCCTTACCTTGTAGTTTTATCCTGGGAAAGTACTGATACTGAGTATTTCATTCATTCTTGTAATTTTTAAATGCCATGCCTTAGCCATCGGAATAAAGTTTGAACTTACTTGTCTTACTGTATGTACATAGTGTAAATAAAAGCATTCGAAGAACGGCTATATAGTGCCTTCAAGTAAATCTACCACAAGCGACCTAACATAAAAGCATGGACATCTGCAGGGCGGCGGAAACGTCTGACAACCAAATGAAAACATTTCTTGTCAAAACCCGTGGAACAGGTGCAATAAAGAAAAAGGGTGGGAAGAAATTCGGACAATAATAACAGAAATAAAACAAATCCAGAATTGTAAAAAAAAATGTGGAAAATCACAATTATTGAAAAAATTTACCTTACGGAGAAAAATGTCACAAATGTGAAAACTGAATCATAAAGCAAAAAGTGCTGATCTAAGAAGACAAGAAATAAGAAAATTGATTGTGTTGACCAAGAATTTTATTGCGACAGTGAATTTGGGATAGAGAATGTGGAAGATACACACGAAACTCGAAAGTGAACCAGACGACTCTAAAAGTAGAAATCTCAAATGTAATGTTCAAAATTGACACAGATGTTCAGTTTAAAATTATTCCAAAGAATATGTGCGATAAATTGGGAATTCGGAAATTACAGCAATCGAAAGCAAACCTTGTGTCATACACCGGTCACAAATTAAATGTCTGGAGAAATTCTGTGCTCAGTACAGCACAGAAATAAATATTATGCGCTGCAGCTTTACGTTGTATCAGGAAAAGTAGACCCCATACTAGGATTGCATTGAGTTGGGAAATGAACATCCTGAAACTGAGACAGTAAACGAATCTAGGACTGCAAAAAATTATCCGAGATTTCTCCGAGAGTTCTCAGCTGAGTTTTCATAAAATTGTCCCGCAAGTTGTTCATGCATTGAGAAAAAGTATCCTACAAAATGCACAAAAGATTAACAGAGGAACTGGACAGATTGGAGTCCTAAAATGTTACAGAAAAGGTAAATGAACCATCAGAATTGGTTAACTCACTGGTCATGGTAGAAAAAACCGAATAGGTTAAGAATCTCTCGGGATCTCCTGATCTCAACAATGCAATTAAAAGAGAACATTACCCAATGAAAGCGGTTGTCGATATCACAAACCAGGTTGCAAGGGCTAAAAAATTCCCATGAGTACCAATTGCGCTTCGTTATTAGCAGACTTATTTTGTAATCATATAAAGCAGAATTTATGAAATATCTTATGCGTGAAAAGAAGAAAACACTTGCTGTGGCCTTCAACTCGACATTTAGCTATATCGGCGACGTACTGTCATTTAACAATGGTAATTTCCATTCGTATGTCGATAAGATATATCTTCGTAAGCTTGAGATAAAAGATACCACAGAGTCTGACACATCTGTTTCATACTTGGATATTTTACTTGAAAAAGACACTAATCGTAATCTAACAACCAATTCTATGATAAACGTGATGACTTTTACTTTTCTATCGTCAACTCCCCTTACCTATGCAGCAATATATTATCATCACCTGCATATGAAGTTTACATATCTCAGTTGATTCGATACGCTAGAGTATGCTCTACGTATGAACACTTTCTAACAAGAGGTAAATCATTGACAAGCAAGTTGATGAAACAAGAATATAAGCAGTCTCGCTTAAAAACATCATTTCGTAATTTCTGTGGTCGATACCATGACCTTGTCAGCAAATACAATTTGTCATTGAGTCAAATGCTGGCTGACGTTTTTCATACTAATTGCTAGAAATTATTTATACACTGAATGAATTGACGATGGATTTTTCCGTCATTTCCCGATCATGACAAGGAGTACATGGCGGGTGTGACCGGTAGGCATGGGATGCTCACTCCTCCATGGCTTCTTATCTCATCTTTGATGTTTTGGAGATCTGAGTTTGATCTGCTCCTATTTTATATTGTTTCATGGACTTTGATATTGAATGCTAATCGTCATTTCCGTATCCTTCATGCAGTACTTTGGATGCATCGTCTGGATTTTGGGGTATTGTACTTGATAGGAAAGTTCGAAGCTACCAACCTTTAATACGCCGTTTAGGAGGTATCATTACAAACGATATAGATACTCCAAAAGAGTATGTCTGAAATCTTTGAAAAAAAATTGAGGGATGTGATTTCATAATAATTTAATTTTTGTTGTAACATATCATTTGATTGGGTAAATAATTTTATCCATTTTGAAAAATATACTCTTCAGTACTCCAGTAATTAAGTACGAAGAAATAACACTTCTTGTAGACGCATCATCAACAAGAACAGGAGCCAACATCTTACAAAATGGACAACCAATTGCCTACGCTTCTAAATCATTAAACATATCGAGTCGTAATTGCGAACAGATAGAAAAGGAACTGCTAGCGATTGTGTTTGCTTGCAAGAAATTTCATCAATGCATATATAGCTCAACGCATTTTTAAACTCACATGGTTTTTCGCACAAATTAAGGTCACATTGTTATAATGCGAAATTATGTAATTTGACAACTAAGTATATGTTGGTAAACTTTTCCCGAGTACCATGAGATTTGGTGCCAAGCGAAGCGAGGGACCAAATCGAATGGCGAGGGAAAAGTTTAACAACATACTTAGTACATGCTTCACACGAGAAATTAAGCCCTTTGTATCTACAGTGTATGTCTATTTAATTACAAATCTTTGAGGGTTTCTTATTATTCAATCAAGATAAGGATAGTTTTGACCCTGACTGTTGCCATTTTGTACAGGTCCAGATGTGATAATTATACCCTCGGGGTAATATCTACCTGTCAGGTGACGGTCTACAGTGAGTAGTTTTCAATTGAAACACAATACAGGTTCATTTCTATAGATTAAAAACTCTCTGTATGAAGATAGTCATGTCATTTTAATGGGTTTAAGTCGGGAACATTTTATTTTTGTGGACATTATTAAATATTTGTTTTTTAGTGGTAAAATCGATGATTTTCTCCTGAAAGCAAAGAATTCCACAGAAAACGAAATGCAGGAAAAGAAAGTTTAAGGTTTACGGTTGGATATACATGTACACTACTTGAATAATATAGGACGGATCCAATGTATTTGAACTTCTTAAAAGAGATCATATTTAGACTTTTTGCTCTTTCCCAATCAGTCCATATCATTCTGTTTGATTGGAATCAAAGAATGAATTAAATAGTAAGTAAACTTTTATTGTTTTAACTTCTAAATGGGATAATTCTGATAAAAGTACCAATCTAAATGGTAAATCCTAAATATTCAATCAATAACTAGACATTTCTTAAATTTCTCTTTTACTTTTGATTTAATTTTTTTTCATGTTTTAATTTTGGCTAAATTTAAATAATTCTGGAAGAAAGACAGGGGAAGAGAAAGAGATTTTTCTTCCTGTACTAATTTATGTAATTAGTTGATTTTTTTACTATGTAGCACATCAGATCCATTATTCATTGTCTGGTGACCTTACCCTGTGTCCATGATTGTAATTACCTACCATTGGTAATAATTTGCTCAATTATTATGCACACAATGGCAGAGTCGCCCAACCATGAAGCATGGGCTTGGGGTGTACCAAGTGATTTGGTAGCAGCAAAATCCTTTGTTCGAGGTGTGAAACATGTACTAAAATATTAATGAAATGATTTACAAGTTAATTTTGATCATATTCCAATACTTTAAACATAATCCACACATAATAATTGGTAGTATTTTTGTGTGCTCTTGCATGATATTTATTATGAGAGTTTCCAAATGGTAATGGCTTTTGGTCAAATGCAAACGTCTTTGTATCCATTCATTTTAAAGCCTACCTCTGAATTGCCTTAATAAAGAAACAGTGCAGCTCATGTAACTAATTCGGTATTTTATATACATTAATATGACACCAATGCGCAACGTGATAGAATTATTTCTCATTTGTTTATCTGCTATCCATGTTAAAAATTGAATTTTTTTCAGGTTATCTTCCTAAAATCTAGCATCATGATAGATACCTTCCAATGCAAAATTTCAAAGTTGTAGACCATAAATGTAAAAGAATTTTCTCTTCAATATTTACAATTTACTATGTTAAAAGCTAAACAATAATTTATTATCCTTTCTTCTCACATGATTTCTTTATGCAGTTTTGTCACTTTCCGGCGCTGCATTTCGACAAAACCAAGACAAGTATGGAAAATGTGCAAATGTACAAGTGGGTAAAAAATACCTAGAAAAACACTCAACTGTAAGAAGTCAATTTGCATATTTCAACCAAATAGTATCAAAGAAAGTTCGATTAATTATTCTGTAAATACCTATGATAAAATCATTCGCATTTAACATTATACAATTTATAAACAAATTCCCTTTTAGAACATTTGACTTTTGAAACTTAAGATAATTATTTTAGGGAATATACACCTTAAACATGAAATACTAAATAATATAAGTGTTATGTTTCGTACTGAATCTCGACAACTTTAAGTTTCATTGCAAGAAAAATGTTACTTTAATTTGTGCGAAAAACCATGTGAGTTTAAAAAGTGCGTTGGCCTGTATGGCAGTAAAGTAGAAAGTGACCACAAACCCGGCCCTTGAGAAGTCGTTCAAGAAAAAGTTATCATCGGCGCCACCGTGCATTCAGCCTATGATGATAAGGTGCAGCCATACGATCTGTAAATAAATGTCAAATACAAACCTGGAAAATAACTGTACATTGTGGATACCTTAAGCCAAGCAAGTGGAGAATTAGAATCAGATCATAGTGATAAGGATAAATTCGAAATGATTGCTGTTGCTACTTGATTGCTACTTGCCAATATTGGACAAAAAGGTAAAGGATTTGGCAGCAGTATTGGCGAAAGATAATGAAATGAACATGATAAACGCTTTAAAGATAAAGAAAGTAATTATTGAAGGCTGACCAGATGATCGATATTACAGAATGCAACTATTTCTTATAGAAATACTTGAATTTAAGAGATTATTGTTTACAATGGAATTGTCAAAAAAGGTCGAAGACTTGTCAAACTCTTTTAAATAAGAAGTGACATCCTAAATCAACTGAATTATGGAGATACAGGTTCCGAGAAATGCAGTCGTCGAGCCAGAGAAGTTGTGTTCTGGATAGGAATTAATTCAGACATAGACTAGAAGGTTGCATGTGCAAAGTGTGCAACAAATACAAGAAAGACAAACCAAACAACCGCTGAAACCTTACCCGATACCAGTTAGACCATGGCAGAAAATTGGACTCGACCTGTTTGAGCTAAAAAGAAAATAGTTTCTCACTCTGGTAATTTATTTTTCAAAATTTTTTTGAAATATGTGACCTGCAGAGCACAAATAGTTCCCGCATCATAAACAAACTAAAACTAATATTTGCTTGCCCCCAGATACCAAAGGAATTGATAAGTGACAATGCCCCAGATCTCGTCATTGATGAATTCCGGATATTTGCTGCGGAATATTGATTAAAGCAAACAATGTCGCGCCGCATTACCCACAGAGTAATGGCATGGTTGAACATAAAATCCAGAACGTTTGAAATATCCTAAACATCTACAAGAGGTTGTGGTGCTTGAACCTCTGAACTGAAATTATTTCTTCGACAAACTCTTGTTAATTTAATTGGTTTTTGCTAATTAGGCATATAATAGGTGTAATTTTGTAAATTATAATCTTAAAAGAATGTGTAATGATATACCGGGTATACTGTTTATTGGATCTGATGTGTTCCAATTATAGACCATGCTTGTTTGCTAACCTTGCAGTTTTATGCTGGGAAAGTTCTGATATTTAATAATAATAATAATAATAAAACTTTATTTAAAGAAGGTAACCTGGTTGGTGCATGCACTATTCTTCCCCAGGGCCCTCTCTATATATGTACATATATCAAATACAAAATATATACACTTCATCAAGATACAAATCATCATAATCACATACAATTAAGTACATGTTATATAGGTTTGAGAATTACAATCACTGAATTATGAATAGAGTGTTCAAATACAGACACATCTTAACAATAACAGTACAATATACGATATTGAACTCTTATTATGCTCAAATGATTGTACGACAGCTGATAATGTAATTTTCCACATTACGCTTGAATGTTCGTAGAGAATGAGAGAATCTAATGTGTTGGGGAAGTTTATTCCACAGATGTACACCTGAATACTGAAAAGAGGTCTTGAATAAGTTTGTACGAAATTTTGGTAATCTAAGATCATAATTAGTTTCGGATCGCAGGTTATAAGAAGTTGAAGACTGAAATTCAAATAAATTACGAAGATATTCGGGAGTCATTCCACTGAAAATTTTGTATAATAATATGTATTTGTATAGATCAACTAGTTCATAAACTGTTAACCACCCAAGTTTCTCAAACAGTGGTTTAGAAGAAGAATCAGGACTTGCATCAAGGATAATCCTTGCTGCCCTTTTCTGTAATTTAAATATCTGTCCATGTCCTGCTTGGGGGCATTACCCCAAACAGTCAAACAACAGTTAATAGATGGTAAAATATAAGCGTTGTGATAAAGTTTCCTGGTATGAAGAGGGAGAAATTTCTTAATCCTACGAAGCGTAAATAACTTATAATTAACCGTTTTACAAACTGAGTCAATATGATTTGCATACTGTAACTTATCATCAATATGTACACCAAGAATTTTTCCAGTTTCAACAATTTCAATTGTTTTGTCTGAGGCATAAAGTTGTAAATTTGGATTATCTAATTTTGATTTTCTTTGATGTGTTCCCATTAACATACATTTTGTTTTATCTACATTTAAAACCATTTGATTTTGAGCACACCATTTTTCAATCTCACAAAGATCTGCATGTAGCGTATTTTCTAAACATCGTGCATTATGATTATTTGAATACAGAGTAACATCATCAGCAAACATATCAATATTTGAATTGTTTACATGTAATGGAAGGTCATTTATGTACAATAAAAATAAAAGAGGGCCCAGAATTGACCCTTGTGGCACTCCTGCTGTGACGGGTTGAATATTGGAGACACATGTTCCAAATTTAACACACTGGGTCCTGTCGTAAAGATATGACTTAAACCATTTTATAGCTGTTTGGTCAAATTTGTAATGATTTAATTTCTCTAGAAGAATATCGTGATTCACCAAATCAAAAGCTTTACTAAAATCTATAAATGTAATGCCGATTAGTTCACCACAATCCATTGCATTAAGCCAACTTTCTGTTAGTTTTGTAAGTGAAGTTTGACAAGAATGGAGTTCCCTAAATCCTGACTGGGATTGTGTTAGTAGATCAAATTCATTAGTGAAGTTTTGTATTAGCTTAGCTACATGTTTTTCTATCAGTTTAGATATAGTTGGTAAAATAGAAATGGGACGATAATTATTTGGGTCAGCTTTGTCACCTTTCTTAAATATAGGTGTTACTTTGGCTTGTTTTAAATTTGTCGGGAAAATACCACTTACTATGCTAGCATTAATAAGATGAGTTATAGGTTTACATATATATTTGGATGCGACTTTTAGAAGACGCGGCCCAATAAAGTCAATGCCAGCTGATTTATTGATATTTAGAGAATTAAGCATGTTAAAAACTTCACTTTCCTCAATTTGATGAATACTAAAGATGGTTTCTTCATCAAGCTTAGACCTTACAAAATTACATAATATATTAGGATCATAATCATGTTTAGGCAATTTCATCAGAAGCTTATTAGAGATATCCGTAAAGTGGTTATTAAAAGTATTTGCAATATCCTGTAGATTATCAACAATTTCCCCATTAGAAAACACATGAGATGGTGTTATGTTCTTTGAATTACATGTTAATTGATTAAGATAGTTCCACATTTCTTTGGGATTTGAACTTTGTTCAATAGCTGTTTTATAGTAAGACGATTTTGATTTGTCTATAAGAAGACTAACTTTGTTTCGATAAATTCTATAGTTCTCCATATCTCCTTCTTTATGGTAAGAGTCCCGTAAATGTCTAGCATTGTTTATTTCTTGTGTCATCCATTTTGTAATTTTTTTTTTGCCATGCCTTTGTCATCTGAATTAAGTCTGAGCTTGCTTGTCCTAATGTATGTACATAGCCTAAATAAAAGCATTCGTAAAACGGCTATGTAGTGCCTTCATTTTATATAAAGTAAAATTACAATAATTTGAAATTTTTTTTACTCATATAGAGATGTATCCAAGTTATGGTATAGTAATTTAAATCTGGCAATATGGGCCCTGGACTCAAGTTTCTTTTGTTTCTGGTACATTAACTCTAGAGAAGTGGATTTGTTAATGACCCCACCACATTTTCACGATTACTTCAGCAAGGTTCTCCGTGGGTAATCTAATGAAGTGGCACAGTATAAAAAATCAATCCAACAATACCACCACAGAAAATTATTTCACCAAAATATAAGGTCATCGTTACTCAGGAATATAAATGTAAATACTGTATACAGGGTTAATTTCTTCATTCGCTTAATTTTCGCCAATTTAATCTTGCAAATAATAATTTTGACCTGTCTTAGATTCGTCCAGTCACAAATCTGTATAAAAAATATACTGTTTTCTTTAACTCTACCCCGTTTGAAATTCGCCCAACCGAGGTTAAGGCGAAAGGACCGAAAAATAAAACGGGGGCAAAAATGTCCCTGTATAAAGTATTCAAATCAAACTCTTAACTAGAAATATGTCAAAAGGACATGAATTGCTCATAAGAAATGTAGCATGAAAATTTGTATAAGTTAATGACGTTTGATGAAATTATGTTGAGCTTTATGCACAATTAATAGTAAAGCAAAAAAGTCATTGGGAAGGTCAAGGTAAAACAGAATTGAACACAGTTTATCAATTCTCACCATGAAAAAAAGAAAAAAATATCAAAGAGTGATCGATCTAAAAAAAAATACATAAATGATACAGATATGTGAAGAAGGCAGAAAACATGGATCTAAGGAAATTCTAGAGGTGGGATAAGTTACGTAGGAGGAGTAAGGAAGGACATGGAGATAACAAACAGTATTCAATAC